TTGAAGATTCTCGGCCGTTAGCCAATCAAAATCGAGGATCTGCCGGTCCAAATTTGTTGCGGCAGCTATGGTTAATGCAAACTAACCTGCGGGTGGCATTTTATTTGACGGGTCCGCGATCGTGCATAGAAAATCTCATTCTTGAACCGTATTATTGCGTCACCATGCCATTACCTATCTGTCTAAAACACGGGGACCCAGAAGATTCTGTATTCGGGATTAAATATGATGGGAATACGATCGTTGACGATTTAAGAAAAGTTATATGGAAGGAAGAAATCAAGGTTCCTGAACATGTAAAAGCAAAAGACCTCCTTTTATATCAAGTTAATATAAATCTTAACACACAAAATCCTCAACGAGCCGCCCTTGGCAATCCAGATGCCAACATTGTAACTGATTTGGGTGGTCAGAAGTTGAGACCTATTGATAACGTTGAAAATAAATTTTCCGCACCCGCTAATGAACATATTCACATTATCATCGAGGTGCCTGTTGTTGCTGGTAAGTGAATTTATTATCTTTTTAGGCGTCAATCTGTTGAGATAATTAGACAAATAATGAAATAGAGGTGTAAAAATGTGATCAATAAAGTTAAGGAGACGTTTATGTAATTTATTAACTTCATGCTTCTTATATTTACTCAGAGGCAACTTTGGAAACTACAGAAGGAGAACCATCATATAAGCGGGCGATTGAACAAATCGCTAATATTCTTGATAGGCAAATGCCTTCTACTAAGTATTTCTTTCTAAGCTTTTTCAAAAAACCAAGAATCTCACTCTCAAGTATGAACCAAACGCATTTGGATGAGTTACTTAACCACTAGGATTTTCATCGAGATACAATTGTTTTCACTATGAATTCAACAAATAAGAATTTTGATGAACAATTCGTGTGGGATGATCGAGCTGAAAATCAACATATGGAGGATCAAAAAGATTCACTAGGTCATGTGATTAAATGAGGGTATATGAGCTATTTAAGTGACAATATCTCTATTTCTTCAGCACTTGTCTGGTACGATTCAAAGTCTAAGAAAGATCTTTTGAGTGTCTACGATGTCTCGCTTCCATACAGAATAAGTGGGACAGCAGATGTGTTGGTTATGGATGAAAAGTTTTACAATGTTCTAGATTATCATAGTGGAATCCGGGCTGGATTCGAGTTAAAGAAAACGGTCCAAGATTATGACGTTAATCAAGCTATTGCCAAGCTTATCGTGGCAAATATTCATTCAAATTATGCCGTTTTCTTAGTTCTCACTGATTTAAATAATAGTTGGATGTTCTATTGGCTTTCAAATAATAGAACAATTATGATGTTTCGAGCCGCCAATTCAAGTAATGCTCTTGACATTATTGAGAGAGCACTTACCGAAGATCCCACTTCTATAACCATTGACCCTAATTTTCCTATTGGAGCGAGAATTAACTGCTTTCATCATTTGAGAAATTTATGAGGAGCATTGGAAAATAAGATGGAGAGTTTGGACCTATTTTTTAATAGGCCTAAAGTCCAATTCGATATCGCGAACATGAAAGATATGTTTAACGAGATGACTGAAGAGGAGATAAAGGATTGGAAAGTAAGACAAGCATTAAAGCTTTTAGATGAAACACCTGGCTTTCAATTAGACAAAAATTACACTGTCATTAGTATGATCTCCTATCAATTTGTCAAGGAATTAGGACTAAAAATAGAAGCCCCTTTACTAGTCTTATTCTATCTGTTACTGGATCCTCTACTTGACCTCTAGGAATTATCAAAAACCTTCTTGTAGAAATTGAAGGTATAACTATTTCTCTTACATAGAAGTAATAAATGTTGCTTTCTACTCATTACTCTTAAATAATGACTGGTTACAAAAAGTTGAAGCTAGCTACAACTGGAAAAATAAAGCTTATATTTTCAAGTGGAAAAGAAAAAGATCCATGTTCCAACTACCTATGAACATAACTAACCTCTACCTGCCCAACCTACTATTACTAATGAAAAAGAATTACAACAATTTAAACAAGAATATTTATATCTTTAAGAAGCTTATATAATTGAAGCAAACCCACCTGTTGCCTTTACCTCTAGATTTAAACTCTACTTTAATACCAACCAAGAATATAGAAATTGCTTCTTTACTACTCATCTCTTTGCCGACTGCCAAACAACTACTGTTTTAGGTGCAATAGATATGGCTACCTTGCTGTATACTGTTCCAAGCAAGCTTCTAAACAATTCACATGTAGGACCTGTTCTCAGTCAGGTCACTTCTATAAGAACTGCTCAAAAAACCAATGCTACTAATACAACTAGTATAGTTATATTAGAATAACTTTTCAAAATATCTCCATCTTAGAAAACCAAAGGTACTATGAAAATAAAGCTAAATTAGTTAAAGTAATTATTATTTTTATTTATTAATATTTATAATTAATTTAATTTATGTTAATATTATTTTATTTTAATAGCATACATATGCAGCAGTTGCTGAAAAGCTAATTACTACAAATATTTACCTATTTGAGGATAAATTTAAAGAAGCAACTGAAGAATACCTTGATGAAAAAGAACTAGACTTTTATTTACTATTGGAAAATACACAATGGAATACATTTTATAAAGATAAAATAGCTAGCCCTGTAATTGTTTTATTTAGTTCTTAATTATTTGAATATATTATAATTATATTTATTTATTTGAATTCATATAATTATTTTTCTTATTTTATATAATTTGATATTTATCATTTTTTAATACTGTATATGTGTGAATACTTGATGAGTGAAGTTAAAAGTCATTGATAATATTATTATTTTGCTCACCAAGTAAATTATTGCTACAAATATAAAGTGCCTCAAAAGCTAAAAGATTTTAAAATATTAGAGCAAACTTAGTTTGTAAAGTTTGTTAGACCAATTTTCATCATGAGCTTAATAAAAGTGATTTTTGAAGTATAGAATATTTTACTAATACTGTAGTAATGGGAAAAGAACTCTTATTTAATATAAACTTTGTAAGGAAGAGTGTATTAGATTCAAAATATATAAACTTGCACTATTTAAGAAAATTCGTGGTTTTGTAATTTAGAATACTTGTATACTTACAAGGCTGCTAGTAATGTAAAATGAGATTCTAATCTTAATATATAGACCCAAGTTCAATATTATATCAAGTTTACTAAAAATGCTGAATGTTTATGATCTCAATCAAAACCATATCTTTCAACTAGCTATGATCCAATTAGGTAAAAGTACCAAACACCTTGTTTACATTTTTAAATCTCTTGCTAATAACTAATCTAACCAAGACTATACTTATGAAGATATCAACCTTATAATAAGAGCCTTTCAAGTCCAATTAACTAAAACTAAAGAAACAAAATTGCAAAAAATCTTAGCTAAATTCTTTAATATTAGCTACCCAGATTTCAACCAATAGAAAGCTATAGAAAACTTGCAAAAGAATTTCCAAGGAACTGTAGAACTTTAAACTTGAACAATTTGAAGTCTGCTAACAAGAATACTATAATAAAGCTTATCTCCAATAACTAGAACCAGAACCTGAATTTTCTTCACCTCTTTCTGCACAACCTAACCAACAAGAAATAATCAATTTATTACAAGAGCAAATTTGACAACAAGCTTAAATTATTGGTTATTTGCAAAAATAAATTCAAGTTTCTAAATAGCAAGCCCAAACTATTACTATATTACAAGCCAAAGTTAATAAGTTTGAACAGTTCCATCATCAAATAAAGAACCTTTACAATAAATCTTTCTTCTTTTAAGACCCTGTTAAAGAGATCTGAAATTTTTAAACTATCTTAAGCAAGATTAAAAACTACTTGAAGATTCAAAAAATAATAAAAACAGACAAGTTTATAAAATCTATACTACTAAAATTACACCAAAAATAGGACCTCTAAACCCAGACCAAGAAGCCCAATTTTATCAGTTACTCATAAAATTTTTTGCCCTTTTTGCAAAGGATATGACCCAGCTTGGAAAAACTGACCTGGTAACTCATTGTATATTTATGAAAGATATACTTTCTGTAAGCTCTCAAACCTACATAATATTTTTTACCAAACAAACTTTTATCAATAAAGAAGTATAATGAATGTTTGATAACAAATTAATATGAGAATCCTCTATCTCATGGATCTCTCCTGTTGTACTTGTTACCAAGAAAAATAAAAAAAAATTTTGTATTGATTACTGAAAATTAAATGCTATTATAAAGAAAGATTAATATCCTTTATCTAGAATTGATGAAATGCTAGATTCTCTAGCTAGAGCTAAGTATTTTTCTTCTTTAGATCTTATGAGTAAATACTGGCAAGTTAAAGTTCATTTGGATGATAGAGAGAAAACTGTTTTTATTACAAAATATGGTATCTATGAGTTCAATGTGATGCTATTTAAACTGTATAATGTACCTGCAACTTTTTAATGACTAATAAACCAAGTTTACAAAAACATTGCTTATAAATATAGTAGTTTATCTAGATAATACTAATGAATTCTCCCAAACCTTTGAAGATTATATTAAATATTTATATAAAGTATTTACTAGAATTAGAAAGCTAAATTAAAACTTAACCTCAATAAATATATCTTTTGGATAAAACAATTACCTTTCTTAGAACATATTATAGAAGAAAAAGAAATTTTTCCAGATCCAGATAAAATTATTGCTATATAAAATATACAACCTTCTCAAAATACTACCCAAATTCGATCTTTTCTAAGCCTTGCTAGATATTATAGAAGATTTATTAAAAACTTCTTCTCCATTGCTTACTCTTTTAAACAACTGCTATATAATAACTGCCTTTATGAATAAAACTTTCAATATTAAAAAGCTTTTGATAAATTGAAAAAATGACTTATTACTGCTTTTATTTGAGTTTAGGTCAAAATCTCGATGAACAAAATCCTGACAAGGTCAAAATCCCAACAAAATTGGCCAGAATTAGCTTAATGTTGGCCAATTTTTTAGGAATTTTGACTCTGTCGGGATTCTTATTTTTAAGATTTTGACCCAAACCCTTTTTATTTTTATCTACCCAAACTATAAACAAGAATTCATTTTAGCAACTAATGCTTTCTATACCAGATTTGGAGCCACCTTAAGCCAAATAACTAATAATCAAAAGAAACACCCTATAGCTTATACTAGCAAAAGTTTAAAGAAGGAAGAAGTTAATTATAAAGCCACAGAACTAAAATATGCTACTATAGTATGAGCTATTGAATATTTTTACAAATACTTTGGTACAAACCACTTTACTCTAATTACTGACCACTCTGCTCTCAAATAATTAAATCCTCATAACCTAAAGGATGCTTAGGCAAATGGATGATGAAACCACAACTCTATCACTTTACTATTATTCATAAACCTGGATGAATTTATTCTAATATTGATGCCTTTTTAATACTACTGAACCAGACACACTTCTTCTTTTCAACCTCTGCCATATAAATTTAAACCAATACCAAAACTTAGTAGAATTTTTAGAATCAGATATATTACCTTTTAAACTTACTGACAATAAACAAAAGACAATTATTAAACAATCTAAATATTATGAACTTAAAAATAAACTGCTCTACAAGAAGAACCAAAAAGATCCTGCCAAACCTATTTGAGTAATTAAATAGACCAAAGTTGAATTTATTCTTTACATAATGCATAGTTATCCCACTATTAGACATTTAAAAACTAATGCTATATATTATAAAATATCTAAATGATACTATTAGAACTAGATGTATCAAGATATCTGAAGCTATATCCAATTATATGAAACTTGTCAAAAATGTAAAAAAGATAGACAAAAGAAACCTCTTCATTCTATACAAGTAAGAAAAGCCTTTGAACAAATTAGTATAGACCTAGTAGAACCTCTCTCTATTACTACTCAAGGCAACCACTATATTATTGTTGCTACCAACTACCTTACTCATTGGCTAGAAGCTAAAGCCGTACCAGATGCTAGTGCAGAAACACTTGCTAGATTTATCTTTAAAGAAATTGTATGCCAATATGGAGTACCTAAAATAATTTTTTCAAATAATACAAAAATTTTATCAGTGAAGTTGTTAGAATCTTGTGTAAAAAGTTTTTGATTAAATATATATTTTTTTTACCTTATTACTCTCAAACCAACAAAATGATAGAACAATTAAATCGAACACTTTGCAACTCTCTTGCAAAAGTAAAGAAAACTAATAAAGATTGAGATATATATATACTGCTGTATTATTTACATACAGAACCAAATAACATGCAACTACAGAATATATTCCTTTTTAATTGGTATATGGACATCAAGCCACCCTACCTATTAAAACTGTTTTTCTAATAGAACTGGATATATCAGATGAAGAAATAGCATTAGAAGGTAGTATATTACAAAAAGCCTTCAAACTAATAGATGAATTACCTTACTAATATAAA